TCCCCCGCTTTTTTTTTTTTTTTTTTTTCTTTTTGTTAGAGAAAGGAAAAAGGGAGAGGGAGGGAAAATTGTATTTGCCTCCTTTGCTAACCATAATTGAATTAAAGTTGTAAAATGCCTGGGAGTTTAACACTGGCCAGGAAGGTTTTCAATAGGTTGTCATTGTGGGGCTTTTTTTTTCTTCTCCGAAGAACTGTTGGTTAATGGATGAATGGATCTGATCGAGCTGAGAAAAAATATGCTAGATACATGCCTTTGAGTAAGATTTCTGCTGCCTTTATGCAGTGAAGCCTTTTTGCTTTGAGTAATTCCAATCCAGTTGACGTCTGGTCAGAATTAGAGAGATTCACGGAGACTTCCGATTTCTTGCTGCATGATTGCCTTTGCTGCAAGTGCTAGTTTTGCAGTCTTGAACCTGATGCCACAGGAGATGTGTTGCAGTACTGAGACTTCTCGTTTTTTAGGATGCGTTCTTCCAAACCAGAGTTATGTCATGAGGATTGGAGCTCTGAGATGGACGATAGAAAATGCAAGCCTGGTTCAAGATCCCAGCATTTAAACCTGATGATTTATTAGTCTTCCCCTACCGACACACAAAATGCATTTATTTTCCCTATTCATATTGCTTTTAGTCTAGTAGAAGTAGAAGAAAGCCACGAGGAGTCAGAAAGATGGCAAAATGGAAAGGATTTGTTTCCAGCTAGGTGGAATTCAGATATTAAATTACTGACGTAGGTCAATGGTAGGGTTTCCCTTCTACCCTCCTTGGCTTTTAATCAGCCTGGGTGTCTTCTGCCCTAAAGGATGAAGAGCACTGACAGCCATCGCTGCTTATAATCAGTAACTCTGATGTTTGGAGTGTTGGCAATGAGATATTTTCATGAGACCTATTTAGATCTCTCCACTTCTACCAGGCTAGTTTTGCAGAACACTGGGAGTAAGCGCTATGTCAGATATGGATGAGACTGCGAAGATGACCTGCATGTTTTACATTTTTCACAAATTTTGGGTGAGTGGTTAAAACATTTCTTTTGAGAGTATGTATATGTGTGTGAGAGAGAGAACAGGAGACTTCTGCTTCAAATGAGCTCTGTTACATTGTGTATAACTTGGGAGGGGATCAAATATCAATTAATATTATTTGCTTTTGTAAAGATACACAATTTCCGTAATTGAAGAGAGCTGTTAAGTGCACTGAAGTAGGAGGTTAATGTATTTAATCTCATTACAGAAGAATTCCTGCACAAAAGTCATCTGGGGGTGCGCGCGTGTGTGCATGTGTGTGTGTGTGTGCGTGTGTGCATGTCTGTGTGGGTGGGTGTGTGCTTGTAAATGTATAGCTAGGAAAAAAGCCACCAACATAAAAGAGTTTTAAGAAATGTGTGATGTGGAGAATGTGTCAGTATTCCCTCTGTTGAATTAAGATGCCATTTTCAGCACTGAGCATTTTTCTTTGGATGGCATTTCCAGCACTGGTTTAAAATCAAGGTAAAAAGAGGGAAAGACCTTAGTGCACTGGTTCAGCAGGGAAGTTCTGAAGGGAAGAGGGAGCTGGGTAATAGGGGAGGTGGGAAACTTCGTAAAATGGTGATTCTTTTCTCTTAAATTAGAAATGTGAAACTGAACTGACAGCCATTTTATGTATATTTATGGGGCTGGTTGTGAAAAGGAAGTCCAAAGAAGCATTGAAATTCACCCACACCAACAGAACCAGAGCAATTCCTACTGTGACCTCACCTTTTTAGACACCGCAGGCATTTGACCCACAAGAAGTTGCCTATCAACCCTTTAATCAAGGCATGTCATCCAGTTTCCAAAAGTGTGGGAATTAGAAGTGACAGCAGGGTTTTTTTTTGGTTGGTGAACAGTCCATTCTCTACCCTACTGAAGACATATATAAACTTTGTTTCCATTTCAAATGTTGTGGGGCTACCCTATTATGCTACTTTTTTTTTTCTTCTCCTTATCCTTACAGGAAATAAAATGTATGCTTGCTGCTCTACAGTAACTTTGGAACAGGACCTCAACAAAAAAATGCATATCTGGATGCTGCAGACGATCGCATTTACTTTAACATCCCTAGTCCTTTCCTGGGCAGAAAGCATCGAGTATTATGGGGAAATCTGTGATAATGCGTGTCCTTGTGAGGAGAAGGACAGCATCTTAACAGTGAGCTGTGAAAACAGAGGGATCATCAGCCTATTTGAGATCAGTCCACCAAGGTTCCCTGTTTACCACCTCTTGTTGTCTGGGAACCTTTTGAACAGGCTTTATCCAAACCAGTTTGTCAATTACACGGGGGCTTCGATTTTGCATCTGGGGAGCAATGACATACAAGACATCGAAACGGGGGCCTTTCATGGTCTGAGAGGTTTAAGGAGGCTGCACTTGAACAATAACAAGTTGGAACTTTTACGGGATGACACTTTCCTTGGGCTAGAGAGTTTGGAATATCTACAGGTCGATTATAATTACATTAGCATCATTGAACCCAACGCCTTCAGCAAACTGCATTTGTTGCAGGTGCTGATTCTCAATGATAACCTCCTCTCCAGTTTGCCCAACAACCTTTTCCGTTTTGTGCCCTTAACACACCTGGACCTGAGGGGTAACCGGCTGAAGCTGTTGCCCTATGTGGGCCTGCTGCAGCACATGGATAAAGTGGTGGAGCTGCAGCTGGAGGAAAACCCCTGGAATTGCTCTTGTGAGTTGATTGCTCTAAAGGATTGGCTGGACAGTATCTCATACTCTGCTCTGGTGGGAGATGTGGTTTGCGAGACCCCTTTCCGCTTACATGGTCGAGACTTGGATGAAGTCTCTAAGCAGGAGCTTTGCCCCAGGAGGCTCATCTCTGATTATGAAATGAGACCTCAGACACCACTGAGCACTACAGGGTATTTCCACACTACCCCGGCCTCAGTCAACTCTGTGGCCACTTCTTCTTCAGCTGTTTACAAATCTCCCTTGAAGCCCCCCAAAGGGACCCGCCAACCCAACAAGACAAGGGTGCGCCCCACCTCCCGCCTGCCCTCAAAAGACCTGGGATACAGCAACTATGGCCCCAGCATTGCCTACCAGACCAAATCCCCGGTGCCTTTGGAGTGCCCCACTGCCTGCACTTGCAACTTACAGATTTCTGACTTGGGCCTCAATGTCAATTGTCAGGAGAGGAAGATTGAGAGCATTTCTGAACTGCAGCCCAAACCCTATAATCCTAAGAAGATGTATTTGACGGAAAACTACATTGCGCTGGTACGCAGGGCAGATTTTGTGGATGCCACTGGGCTGGATTTGCTGCATCTGGGCAATAATCGGATCTCGGTCATTCAGGACCGGGCTTTTGGGGATTTAACTAATTTGCGAAGGCTGTACCTGAATGGGAACCGGATCGAGCGGCTGAGCCCAGAGCTATTCTATGGGCTTCAAAGCCTGCAGTACCTCTTCCTGCAGTACAACGTCATCCGGGAGATAGAGGCAGGCACCTTTGAATCTGTCCCCAACCTTCAGCTCTTGTTTTTGAACAACAATCTGCTGAGGTCTTTGCCAGGGAACATTTTTTCTGGTCTGTCTCTCTACAGGCTGAGCCTGCGGAGCAACCACTTCTCCTACCTGCCGGTGAGCGGGGTGCTGGACCAGCTGAAATCCCTGCTGCAGATCGACCTGCACGAGAACCCCTGGGACTGCACCTGCGACGTGGTGGGCATGAAGCTGTGGCTGGAACAGCTCAACACCGGCGTCCTGGTGGACCAGGTTATCTGCGAGTCCCCTAAGAAATTTGCCCAGAGCGACATGCGGGCCGTCCGGGCGGAGCTGCTGTGCCCCGACTACTCGGACATCGTCGTCTCCACGCCCACGCCGTCCCCGGGCCAGCTGCCGGCCAGGACCACCCCCTCCTCCTCCACCGTGCGCCTCAATGGCACGGCGGCGGCGGCGGGCGGCTCCGCGCCCGCGGGCGGCGCCGGCGGCGGCAGCTCCTCGGTGCCGCTCTCGGTGCTCATCCTCAGCCTGCTGCTCGTCTTCATCATGTCCGTCTTTGTGGCGGCGGGGCTCTTCGTCCTGGTGATGAAGCGGCGCAAGAAGGGCCAGGGCGACCACGCCAGCGCCAACAACTCCGACGTGAGCTCCTTCAACATGCAGTACAGCGTCTACAGCGGCGGCGGCCACCACCACCACCCCCACCTCCAGCAGCATCCTCCCCACCGCGGCGGCGGCGGCGGCGGCGGCGGGGGCGCGGCGCTGCCCAAGGTGAAGACCCCCGCCGGCCACGTCTACGAGTACATCCCGCACCCCCTGGGCCACATGTGCAAGAACCCCATCTACCGCTCCCGGGAAGGCAACTCGGGCGAGGATTACAAAGACCTTCACGAGCTCAAGGTCACCTACAGCAGCCACCCCCTGCCACCCGGGGGCGGCGCGCCGCCGCCCCCGCCACCTCCGGCGCCCGGCGGGGAGGATGCGCCGGCGCGCAGCCCCGCGTACAGCGTGAGCACCATCGAGCCGCGGGAAGAGCTGCTCTCGCCGGTGCAAGACGCCGATCGCTTTTACAGGGGCATTTTGGAGCCCGACAAACACTCCCCCTCCACGCTGGGTACACCCGGCTCCACCCTCCCTGACTACCCCAAGCTCCCCGCCGCCTACACGTACTCCCCCAACTATGACCTTAGGCGTGCCCACCAGTACTTGCACCCGGGGCCGGGGGACGCCAGGCTCCGGGAGACGGTGCTCTACAGCCCCCCGAGTACTGTCTATGTAGAGCCCAACAGGAACGAGTATCTGGAGCTAAAAGCAAAACTAAATGCAGAGCCGGACTACCTCGAAGTGCTGGAAAAACAGACCACATTCAGCCAGTTCTGAGAAACAGCCCCCCCGCCCCCCGTCCCCTCGCCAGTCTCAGCAGCTCCTTCTCTAGAGTATTTGTATTTAACAACCACACGCAAAACAAAGAAACGTAAATGCTGACCTCCCTACACACACACACCTCGCTCCCCTCCTCTTTTCTCCCCTTTAATTCATTTTATTGTAGGGTGAAGTGCCTTGGCACAGGACTTTTCAGCTTCGGGGAATGGTTCTGAAAGGGTGTGCTGTTCAGTTTGGTTTGGTTTTGTTTTGTTGTTTTTTTTTTTTTTTTCTGTTACTGCATTTGGAAGTCGGAAACCACCTATTTGTAAAATGGGCACAACACTGGCATTGTGCGGGTGTCCATGTGTCTTTGGGGAAGGTGGCTGGAGGTTTCAGAGGTTTCTTAGGTTCTTGTCAGGTCACATTCAGGTCATGCTTTTTTGGGGGGGTTTATTTTCCTTGCTTTTTTTTTACTTTTTTTTTTTTTTCAGACATTTTTTTTTTTTTTTTTTTTTGTGGTTGTAGAGTACGGCGCACATTTTCCCCTTTTAGCCATGCGTGAGTCTAAATGGCTTTTATGGAGAGATTAGCACACCCCGACTTTAATACAAGGTTTCCTTTTTTTAAGGATGTGTTTGTATACTTTCTGGACTTTTGAATTAAAAAAAATATATATTATGATCTTTAAAGGGATCACTGTAGATGTGGACAAATCATTAAAGAGTGCAGAGATATATGATCCATAACTGGTTAGTGAAAATAACTTATTGATGAAATATAAAAAAATATTTTATTGTAGCACCTATTTTTATATGCACATTAGCATTTCTCTTTCCTTCACTATTTTAGGGCCTAATCTTGCAAATTTTTAACTCATTTGAGTATCTCTGTTTCTGAAAGAAGTCCCAGCTTAGGCCTTCATCCTGCAGGCACTTAAGCACATGAACAGCTTTACCAATGCGTGTAGTTCTGGAGACTCACTCATTGAGCAAAGTTTGTCAAAAGCCCAAAAAATTAGGATAGAGTATACAGAATTCTTACAAGTAAAATTATTGGAATGTTTGACTGTTTCTTTCTTTCTTTTTTTTTTTTTTTTTTTCAGGATGGGGTCCAAAGGTTGTGGATTGCTTTAAAGTATTGCACTACAGTGAGAGCTTTTCTCCCAAATATGATATAGTATCAGAAAGAACTTTTAAATCTCTATAGATAATGCCAGTTATGACCAAATCTTAACAGACAATCTGAGATATAAAATCTGATCACAGTAGGAAAAAAATCATGTTTCTCTATTGAAAAAAAGGTGTCTTTTAGCAACCTCCTGCTCAGGAGTCTGGTTGGGCAAACTAGTGAGGGAAATGTAGAAGGCATTCAAAGTTTCATTTTTGATTTGTTGGTTTCATTCTTTTCTTTTTTCTTTTAAATCTTGTATTAGTTAACCAAAATACAATGATTCTGCAACTGTTGTAGCCAGTTTTTGATTGTTCAGTCAAGTATAATTGCACTTGTACAGATCCACATGTTTACTGGCATCCTGAAAGACCAAATGATGGACTGTACACATCTCTATAAAATGTCTTTACCCCTTTGGGCAGCAGGCAATGGCAAGGATATTCATAAACACAGCATCACTGTAAGATGGGACAACTGATGTCTCATATGTATCCCAGCACATGTGATTTTTTAATAGTTTCTGAATAAACACTTGGTAAATATTTCAAATATAAGATCCTGAAGTAATGAGTATCTGAACTTTAAAAATTTCTGGCCAAAATAATCTGTTTGTACATTGGATTCTCTTTACTAGCAATTAAGGCTCATCAAAAAGATCTAACATTTCTAGGCAAAATATAATGTGTTCTCTGTTTTCGAAACATGACATGTGGTAATTACCAGCATATATAACGTGGGTCAGAAAGCAACACAGGAGTATATGTTTCAACAACATATTGAAGATGAATAGTTTTATACTTACAATTTGTTTCCTTACTGAGGTGTTCTCTAATATATGGAACAGGGTAAGTGATATTTCACATGTGTTTTCTTTTTTCATTAGGTTATTATATTTAATACTGTTTCCAGAGTTGCTCACTAGTACATCTTTTATTGCAAAAGGGCTCTGTTCTATTCTGCTTTTCCTACCCATGTACAATCTGTCACTTTCTACAAAAACAAAGCTGTATAACTGGTCTGTTGGAATTCAAGAAAAATGTTTTCTTGGCGTGTGTTCTTCCCTCTATGCCACCCACACTGAGCAAAAGCAAAAAAAACCAAAAAATAAGCATGACTGTATTTAGCTTGGACAGTTTAGTAAGTGCAGTGTTATTTCAGTTTGAAATGCAGAGTTGAGGAGTGTTCTTTTGTCACAAGAGACATAACAAATGGCTATTCTGTTCTCTGCTCTCCATCTCCTGCAGACTTCCCATTGACACCAGTGAGAGATGTGTGTGTGGCTGCCTGAGTGCTGTTTTGGACTCCTAACTTTGAATTGCTGCCTTTATAACTATTGCTGAAACCAGTGGCCTGGTTCTTCTTCCATTTCAGCTCAGTAGAGGCATGCTGTTGTTAAATGGGTATAAGTAAGAAAATTTTCAGCCTCGCTGACTTTGCCAGAGAAAGGCTAGCTCAGAAAGGATTGAAGGAGAAACCCTGTGTCTGTTCATGTGTATATATATCTTTCCTGTGTGATTCTAAACTCATGTTTATGAGTTTGCATAGGTGTCAGTACAAACATCGGATGAGGTCCTTGGTGTGAAAGGTACATTTTGCATGGCATTCTGCCACAAAGAGGCAGCATCCGCAAATGAGTAAATGAGCAGGAATTGCTTGGATTTGTAAGAAATAGCTGAAAGAAATCCCTTGACATTCTGTTTATGTTGAAATTCTGACAACTGCCATTTCTGAGGTCGGTAGTACTTCTGCTTCCGTGTGTTCTATATGTATTTAATAACTGCTAATGAAGGATTTTTCTAATGGTCTACACTACAACCAGAACAATTAATCTAAATCTTTTTGACAACTCACCTGTAGTAGAAAAAAAAAACATGTTATCACTTGTGTTACTGGAGAAAAAGATTAAATGCCATCAATTATCTACAGAAAGTGCATTCCTGAAGATAAATCCTTGAAAAATAATACAGAATGAAAAATAATTTTCTTTAGTCACTAATCATCCTGAAATATATCTGAAAGGGGTATTTGTGAATGAGGACTTCGCTAGAAGTAGGAGTTCCCACTCAATGGCTAAAATGATATATCATCTGTGGATAATTATTGTAAGAAAAAGTAAATAGGAGTAGAAATTGGCAAAGGGAGATGTGCCTCTGATTCAAAAGAAGATAAGCAATAAAATAATTTGTTTCAAGAAAAAGCCCACCCTATTTTGAGAATTCTGAATATTTTATTAGGTTGGTTATCAGACTGGTTTAGGTCAGTTATTAAAATGATACTCCCCTTTTTTTTTTTTTTTCTTTTTTTTGTGTTTTGATAAGTAATGTTGAGCATATTGAATCACTCTTGTGGCCTCATAATTTATTTCAAAAGTGCATAAGTGCATGAATCTCTGCAATGAACACAAAAAAAAAAAAAGTAGAAGAGAATCCTGGTTCCTCAGTGTAATTACTGGAAACAAAACATGAGTGAGACACCCTTCCCTTCCCTTCCCTTCCCTTCCCTTCCCTTCCCTTCCCTTCCCTTCCCTTCCCTTCCCTTCCCTTCCCTTCCCTTCCCTTCCCTTCCTTTTGCTCCTATATTTCATATTTTACTCTCATCTTTAACAAAATGAGCTGAATTTCAAGTGGTTAATCCCAGAAGATATAGCCTGTAATTTCTAGACATTCCTACACACTGTTTGAAACACCAGATGTTATGTCAGTCCTCTCATCAGTTAAAAGTCTGACAAAAATGCAGCTTCCACTTCAGTAGTTCTAGAGCCCACATTCTCACACCTTTATTTTTAATACATATATCTTTAACACCCAGTATTTTAATGGTCACTTAAGGTTGTGAAAACATCTTCAGTTGATTCTGCATACTGCAAGATTTAATGTATTAATGTTTTCCTATGATTAACTTTTCTATAAAGCTATAGGTATTTCTTAGAGGAATTTCTTTTAGGAAAACAAATGTAGTTGTACCTTTTCTCATATAACATACTAATTTAGTCATTATTTGTTTATTAAAGCAATTTTTTAAATTGGTTAAAGAGCATAAAAATGAGCTTATAACCTGTGGTAAACACAATGTAGAAGATATATCTGGAAAGGCAGAAATAGCTAATTGTGGTTGTTTGAAAATATGAAGGCAAGATCCTGTTTTTTTAGGTTGTTTAGATCTCTATTTAGCTGGAGCTAAAATGTCTGACCAGTATGTTGTTTCTTACAGAAACTTAAGAGTCTGTTTAATGCATATGGTTCCCTCTCAGGGGGCTGAGTCCATTAAGGCACTACATCCTGAAGGACGGGGTAAACAAGAACTCCTTCATTTTTAGAGGGCAGGTTCTTTATATTGCTCAGTGTCTCCAGGGAACCTGAATAGCCTTTCATTAGGTTACAGACTGGCATACTGAATTACAGCGTCTCCAAACCAGAGAAGGAGGCTGAAATCTTTTGCTGTCTTATGCAGAACTGAGAATGCTATTTGCTCTACTGGCATTAAACAAGAAAACAAGAAAAATGGAGAGAGAAGAGGAAGTGAATGGCAGACACAATGCCATAGCTGTCAGCCTTCAAACAGTCATCACATTTCTATTGATTATTTGATTGTAGGGAACTTGTACCTCTATTCTGCAGCATCCACTTACCCTGGAAAATGTAGGACCTCAAGCTAAGGAGTGACAAGAGGATGGAGGAGTAGATGAGTGAGAGATTTCTGTGAGAGAAGTGGGCAGGATAGGAGCAATCTGAATGGGACAACCACACAATTTGTTTTTCCCAACACTTCTAAGAAGCTCTGCAATGTGTTTTGCTGAAAAGAGAGCACACAGATCCCCTTACAGTCCAGCAATACTGTCTTACATATTTGTGGTTTTCCATTTATGTATAAAAAGTATCCTAAGTTATTATAAGTTTTGGAATTTTTTTTTCCCTGTTCACTATTCATCTACATTTCAGAATTTCTAGCAGTATGATGATACTCCAGAAATGTTAAGCACTGTTATGCTTTAGTTTGTTTTTTCCTAAAACACTGCACAGAACAGAGATGGGACAGGAAAAAAAGGCATATTTAGGTCCTAGGAACAAGAGGCATCGAGTTAATTGAATATACAAAGAAATAAAGTGTAATGAAGTTTGTAATTAAATGGTTATCAAATTAACTATTTAACTTACAGCTAATGGGCCACATTTTGCTTCTAGTTGTGTAAGTACACAACTGGATTCCATTCACTTAAGGAACTTGCAAAATACTTACCTTGCTCTTGTAAGTCTGGCTTTTTGTCATTGAAATAAGCCATTCTCTTAGGATTTTTGTTGTGTACAGTAAAATTTTGAATACAGTAATTACAAACATTAGTAGTTCTGCTGTGTATCTCCAAAATGAATCACATCTATCTCCAATCTGCTGACAAGTTCAGTGACACGGCATTGTAAAGTTTATCTTGGACTCATATTGTCCTGGTTATATGGGAAGTACAGTTTACATCCACAGATATACATGTGGCTCTTCAGAATGATGAACCATATGAACAGACAACATACCTCTATTTAATTCTGTCGACTTGGTCCTGAAACCTGGAACTAGATTAAATACCTATTGATAAAAATTGTTCCCTTTGTGGAAAGGGAACAATTGTTTCCTGTGTGGTGTTTTTGCCATAGAAGATGCAACTCCTTTTGCTGCAATTTTACGGGCTTATATTTACAGTATTTTTAAATTTTGCGGAAAACTATAGGCCATGTCAAACATAAATTATTTTTTTTTTCATGGCTGGACGCAAGATTACTATTTGTATATCATGACATGGTTCTGGGTGATCTAAAAATGTCCAGACTGGGATAAGATAAAAGGTTGAAATGATAATTGTGTAGTTCAGTATTTAATGTAATAAAATATTTTTTCTCATTATTTCAACATTATATCTGATTTTGTGAACACTAGATTATTAACACATTGGAAATTTTGTACAATTTCTGTGGCAAAAAGTTTATATTTGAGGAAGGGGAAACAGTATGAAATTGCTTTTGTCAAATGTCATATCAACTTTATTCAAAAATGCTTAGAGCAAAAGCACCGAGTTAAATTCTTCAAACTTGAAAGGTAAAAGTCTAGTCTGATTTTTGAATTTCTGAAAACAATGTTTAATTGGCAAATAAATTATTATTTTAAACATCTGGGTTTTTTACCATCTGTACTTTAAAAAATAAACATATATGTATGTGTATGTATATGAAAGTGTATGTGTACATATATATAAGTATGCATATATATATATATATATATATATATATATATANATATATATATATATATATATATATATATATATATATATATATATATATATATATATATATATATATATATATATATATATATTTACTGTGATGTGAGGATATTTCCACGTGAGTAGTGAGAGTTTTTAGGTTTGGAATGAAAGAAATATGCTTCATGGATCATATATAGGAGATAAATGTTATATCCATGTAATCACCAGAAAATCAGTCCAGTCATACAGTGCTTCAACTTTTCTAATACAGTAATATAAATTTTGGGTTGGGGCTGTTAGGAACAAAATTTTGGGCTCAAATCTAGTTTTTAAGTGGCTGAATATGGATTGAGGGGCATTAATATTCCAGTATTTTAAGCCTCTACCTTTTCCATTTGACAACACATGGCAAAACAAGCCGGAAATTTACTTTCTGTAACTTTACTACTATAGCAATTAATTTGTCCAATCCAATGGATAAATAGACACATTAACAAATGTATTTTTAACAAAGGCAAGAGTTCTTAGAAAGGTCTTTCTCTTAGATACCTGAATTTAGTTTTAAAATACTGAATTCATAATGATGTTTAATTATGCAAATGGTTTTTAGAAGTAATGACAAAGATTTGTTCACTTTCTAAATGCTGAACTTACGTGGGCTAATCAGTTTTTTTAGTTACGACTGTAATAAAGCTGTTAGTCCCAGCAGCATTTGCTTTCTGCTGAAAATTATAACAGGGTTGTTCTCAGCATTGGTACTCTCCATGATACAACTTTATAATTGTAAATTCCTTTTTAAAATATGGAAAATTAAACATTTTAAAAGCATTTTCAGGTTGGCAGTTTGCTAAGTTGAATTGAAATGTCATTAAGTTTATTTAATATTTAAAAATTATCCAATTTTAAGTAGTTTTCTTGTATTTTTTTAAGTCATACATACAACTCTTTATAAGTGATGTAATGAGTTTATTTCTAGTTACATACAATGCTGCACATCTGGTTAGATGGCATCTGTAATTTATTCTGGCTGGATGGCATTTGTAATTTATAACAATCCAAAATATCTAGATTACAGTATTCTTCACATTAAGTTCAAAATTCAAGAATATGTACATTTTTCTGTTTTCAAATTTGTAAGAAATGCCTACACTAACATCAAAGAACTTGAACCACTTTCAAAGAATGAATATTCTGCTGAATCATTTATTCCCAAGTATAAATATCTTCTTTTAGTGATGATGAAAAGTGCATCAAAGAAAAAAATGCCTAATCAGTATATTTGGTGATTTTGAAGTGAATGAAAATTCTCCCATTGATTTTACTTTTTTGGAAGCATGTAATGTCTTTAGCCTGTATGTTTTTTTCTCTTCCTGTTAGAGGCTGTTTATTAACCTACCATGCATAAGAAAAATCCCTGCTACAAAGGTATTTCAAATTTCAGCTGGTTATAACATCTTTATCAGTTAGAGCTGTGGCTGTTTCTTAAGGTTGTTTTATTTTTTCAGTGATTAAATTATGCTTGGTCTTTTAAGGGTGGATTTTTTTTTCCCTTACATCCATCCAAACATGTCATGTAATTTAGTCAATACTGGTGGTGGAAATTATTTTAAACACCATATATTGATGGGTTCTTCAAGTTTATAGCATTAATGTTTAAAAACATTCTAACTCTTTGAAGGAGAGTTAACAGTTACACATTTTTTATTTTAATTTTATGCTTCCTTCTCATTCTTTTTTCCCTACACATTACTGAATCAAACTGCCTGCCTTTGCTTTGAAGGCTGCTTTTTATTTTAAGTATAGAGCATGGTTGTGTGCAAAGGGATCTAAGCTATTGTTCCTCAGTGTGTTTATTTCTTTTAAAGAAAAATATTGTATTCTTTTAAATAGCTATTGATTTTCTAAGGAGAATCACATGGTCCACATTTCTCCTCTCCTTCTCTTTTCATTCTTACATTGTGGCAGTGAAGAGGTGTGTTTGGTTTTGTAGCTTTTTGTTGCAGGTATAACACCTTAAGCAAAATCCTCATGGTTGTCAAAGACAATTATGTTTTAGGTAGGAATTTTTAAAAAACTCTACCTATAGCATCATTAGTGTGAAGTTGTAACACAAGTACATGCCTGCATAAACTTGCATTT